TTGGGCTTTTAATTCTTTAGGCCTTTTCCCTTAGAATCCTATTCAAAATCGTTTTCGAAGTTTGTCCCAACAATTTGTATGACTTTAATTTGGTTTGGGCCTTGTCCCTTCATTAACATCTTATTTTATCGACTGAGATTTGTCTAAACTAAAGTCTTTCTCTTCTTGACCAAACATATATAGGTTACATATATTAACTAGCATACATAGTTGGACAAAGATGAAGCATTATGAATGTTTCTGGTAAAATAAATTAAACGTATGATACTCAATGAACGAAATGAATGTAATATTTTTTTCAACAACAGAGTACTCACATTAATGGGGCAAAGGAACATCGTCGTAGCTTAACTTCTATGCATGCAGAGATAGAAAAATTGTTATGGGTGATGAAATGCGTGGTGAGGAATGAAGCATTTGCCATTTTTTGGGAGATTGTTTAGAGTTATTGAAAATGATGACATAAACCGAGTTTTGGTCTGCATATTCCATGCATGCTACCAGTAGTGTTTTTAAGTTTGAGAGCTCGTTTTAGATCTTTTCTATTTCGCACATTTCACAAAATCTTAATGGTAAGGCGGATTGATTGCTTGTAGTTCTTTATCTCGTTTTCTAGATTTTTTCGTATAATTTGTGATCCGGTTTGGTTGGCCATATACTATTTGGTTAATACAAGGTTATATGTTGACCCAAAAAAGCAACAACATATGTTAAACGGATATGAATTCGAGTAGTAACACAATGATGACACTATCAAAAACTACTAATTAAATTACATGTTTTGGTTATCTCGGTGTGCTAATTTTTTTTTAATTTATGTGGAAGAGAGTGAAACCTCAATTGTAAAAGGGACAATCAATTGTTTAGCGAGATATATTAATAAACTTCTAACGTTTGGTTTAATTCTCAAATCATTAGAAAAAAGAATTAATTAAGCTCTTTTTGATAAACCAAAAGTAGAGTACCTATTTTAAAGATAAACAATTACAGAAGCAAGTGACCGACACAGAGACACTGAAAAAAGTAGATCTGATGTTTAGCTCCCCAAATATTAATTAATAATTTTAAATAACCCTAATTAACTGTTTAATAATATTTGTGTGCACTTTCTCGTATGTGGACGTCTTTTAAAATTTTTTTTTTTTATAACTGTGAAGATTCCAAAAACTTTCTAGATCCAAAGACTAATCCCATAAAACCCACGTTTTACCGCTCATTTC